TGTGATCGATACCCACGGAAACATCCGCTCAATCGGAGACACGTCGTTTGATCGAGCACCGTCGTGCGACCGCGCGGTGTTTCCTCTGGCGCGACTTCAGGTGGGCGAAATCAATCAATACGTATAATATGTATGGAGCTTGGCTCGCCTCTTTATTCAAGGGCGATTCATCGCATTTTATTGCTCATTTGCAGCTCGAATGGCCTACCTCCTTGTCTGTACATCTGCTAACTGGACAAATATTTGTGTTGGATTCGAATGTGGTCTACCAGCTTGATCGAGCTCAGGATACCGCTGAAATTGTCGTGGGCGCCCTGACAACGTGCCAAAATGCCTCCTCGCGACATCTTTTGCGAAATGCGCGTGATATCGCCGCAGCCACCGATGGGTCGCTGTATGTCATAGAATCGGATGGAAAGAAACTGAATCAGGTAAGTTTTACATGGCAGATAGACCGTAATAAGAACCTAATTCATCTGTTCAAGATTCGACGCCTGTCCGCTGATCGCACGAGTTTCCCAGTGGTTGCTGGACAGAAGACAGCCTGTGCATGCGACGTCGCAGCATGTGGCTGCGATGACACGGCTTCACCAACATCCGTCATCTCGGTGAAAATGGCACTCTTCAGCGCTCCATCGGCAATTAGTGTCGACGCCGTCGGTCGCGTTTACGTCGCTGACACGGCGAATGCGAAAGTGAAGCGAATCGTATCGCGTGTTGCGCGTTACGATTCGATCGCTCGGCTGTATAGTGTGGTTGATGCGGATCGGAATGAGGTGAGTAGGAAGTGATTCGCTTGTCTTGTAAAATTTCGCCCGTCCTGTGAACTTGGGGACGTTTCAAGGGGCAGCGATAATTGTGGGATCCCATAGGGGCGCGATTGTGCCACATCATGCCTTGTTTTTTCAAGTTACTAACCTTCTACAGCCCTGTTCGCTAAGCACGCTGGGACACTTCAAGTGGACTGAGTTTGGCGCGATCCAGCCTATTACCCACCAGTTGTGGAAGCTGGCAGATGAAGAAAATTAGAAGAGGTTGGCGCCGCGCTAAACCCACCGTCCCAGCCTCCGCAGCAAAGAAGACTACGTGCGCCTCGAATTCCTCATAGAGGTACAGACGCCGCTCTCCTATTTGGAATGGACTTTCCATAAGAACTAACTTTCCATTAACTATGTCAGCGATCTTTCTAAACAACCGCACCAATACCGTCTTGAGAGACCCAGACATGAAGAAGGGGCGGCATAGTCGCGCCCAGGCTGCCCCTCCCCCATCATTTTTGCCTTTTCCCAAGTTATTGTGAATAATCAATGTTCTAGCTCTACATGTTCAATCGCTATGGCCTGCACACTTCGACGCAATCTTTGATTACCGGTGCAGTACTGTACAACTTCACCTACAATGTAGATACCAGGTTTGTGAAAGTCATTTGGAGTCTTTGGCTGGATACAAGTAGGAATTATAGATTCCCCTAGTTGGTTCAAGGGTTTCCCCACAAGGGCCCGTACTTTGGTCGCTGGAAAGGGCCCTAGCACCTTGTGGTTTTTCATTTTCTGCGGATTTCGTGGTGTTTTTCAGCCTACTGGGCATTGTAGTAGATGACTGTACAGCCCGCTCAACGACAAATTTTTGAGAGAAAATTGGTAGGGTGACTGGTTGCGAGGGGGGAGGGTCTGTACTGATACGGCCATTTTGCACTAGCCTTTATCCCGTTACCTATAAGATCTATGTGGTCTGCTAGTTTGGCTCAAATTCAACTGTATTTGAAGAAAAACTCTGGTTTTCAGCCTAGGTCGCCTAACATCAATTCACGGATCCGGCGGATATCAGCTACGATTCATCCGTGCAAATGAATCCCATTGTACAATTGAGACACCGTCCAGTCAGCGAACAGTTCTGGTTACCAGTATCTACGATGGTGTTATCGAAAGCGTTCAAACAGGTGTAGGAGGTGGGTGTTACACAGAGATTTGGTCATGCTCCCTCAAACGATAGGGCGTGTGAAGGAATGTGAATTGGAGCACAGCCAGAACATCCTTCAACGCCAACTG